TCAAAGCAGCATTGCACTCTCAGGCACAACAAGCCATTTCAAAGACGCACAGTGCTGGATGTTGGGTATGTCACCTTAAAAACGGCAGTAATGATGCTAAAGATGACAAAGGCAGTTATTTAAAAGCTAGGAAATAGCACAGTTAAGATATCTATGTTACTTAAGCTCAAGTCTTTCAGCAAATGCAATCCTACTCTGCTTTTAATTACACCAATGCTGATCAGGGGTCACAAGCTCGTTATGGGGACATCAGTTTTACACTGCAACATCTCCCTTCACCCTGCAATCGGCAGCGTCTCCTGGGCCCCTTCACATGATGGGTGTTTCCAGCCGCATGGGATGAGCTGGATGAGCGCACATCTGCCTTTCCCAAGCCTGGACACTGGCCCATCATTTGGCCAATGTTCGAGCATCACTTTGACACAATAGGCACATGTGAAATCACGCAATGCAGGAAGATGAGGAGCCAGGATAAACTGCTCCGTTTCTTCCTTCCCTGCATCCAAGGAAAAGATGGGCCACAGATCAGGCCAGATACATGCTCTTTTGCCAGGGCAGCTCTGGTTTGGGATTGTTTCAGACTCCCATGACTATAGAGCCCACTTCTCTGCCTCGGTCAGGTCATGGTGTACATGATTACCAGCAAGAAACAAAGCCATAAAAGACATAGAGGTGTCATCTGCAGCAGGAGCTCTCCATGATTCTGCAGACAGGGACATCAGTGATATGCTCTGAATGCTGACGAAGGGGAGAACACACAGAGACGCACCTCCACAGGTATTAGGAACAAGAGGGATTTGCTGTCACCAGTGAGGAAGCCCATGGCAGAAGCCAGGAGAAGGCTCAGCTTTTCAGTGTCCCCCTTCACCATCACAGTTGCTTGTAACTCCTCACCTCATTTATCAGACACCTCTGATCCTTCCAGTAACGTGCTGGCCTCTGGATAAGGCTGAAGTGTGAGCAGAGAACGCAAGTCCCCAGGGCAGGGGCCTGCAGGGGGTAGCAGACTGCTGCAGTTCACAGCTACAGGGGAGGACACAAATACACCTTTTGAACTTCTCCTGTTGCACAAACCAAGGGCCTGTCCTCAGTCATTCCTAATCATAGCAGCACATGGAAGATAACAGCACCAACGCATTTCTGTATATATTGGATGGATGTTTTCCAAAAGGAAAATGATGGTTCTTTTGTGAAGCTGTAATTGTGAAATGCAGAGACCTGGCTGAGCAGGGCAGCCAAGGAAAGGCTGCAAGTGTGGCCCTGGGAGCTCCAAGACCACTCGCACACAAGGACAGCCTCAGTAAGAATGTTCATGACACACTAAACCCGTGTAACTTGCTACCACGCATCCAAGTGTTTGCTGGTGGAATAATTACAGCATCTGGAAAACTTTATTCTTCCGCTTACCCAAGTCTTGTAACATCCCCACAGTAAGTAGACAGGCTCAGCTCTGCAACTCCACACACACCCACTGCACACCCCTGCCGCTGTGACCAACAGGGACCAGAACACTGCCCACATTCAAGAGACAGGGTCAGATTATGTTGGATCACCAGGTACAGCCCTTTGACAGACACGATGAGCCTGTCCAGGCACCCTTGTATCATCATAGCAATAAAACAGAAGGATGAGACCAACCTGAAAGGGGCATTACACTGAAGCGGGGGGAAGCAAAGCACTGCCACAGATCCGATCCAAGGCACCGAGCTGGATGCAATCACCCGGTTTTTAACTATTCCATGTGATCCCATTCTTTACAGAACTCATATGCAAATTGACAGCATGAACTTTACACTGGGATTGTTTCAGTCCTTGCTTCACTGCCCCCAGACGGACAGAGAGCTGCTGCTATCCATCAGCCAGCAGCTGTTACACTGGGAAAAGGAGTGAATAAACTTTGCTTAGGCCAGTAAAAAGACCAGAAGAGCACGAGCGAACATGTTGATAACTCAGAGCTAGTTCCTTATTTTGATAAAAGAAGCTGCTTCACCAAGAGGCATTTCTCAGCACTTTGAGAAACAAGCAACCCCATCACCACAGCCACGAAGGGCAGGCTCAAGGATGGCTCCTGCCTCAAGCAGGACTTGTTAGTGCCCAGTAAATGTCACAGCAAGCTTCCACACGACACACTTGAAATGCTACAACCAACCACAAACTCTCAGTGACTGCACGAAGCCCTTGTTAATTACATTTATTTTATAGGTCTAAGTCTTTTCAGGAACAAAACCCCAACACTAAGTTTAGGAAACCTGGAGAAAAGGAGGATGAGCATCCTAGCATCACCGCATCCCTGCTGTGAAGACATGCTGGCATTGGCCTTGCAAGCCAGGAGAAAGCAGCCAGATACGGTGCATCCAGAATGAGATGTTTGCCTGGGAATGCTCCAAGGCCACCTGCAACAAGCCATTTCAGGATCTCCCCCTCTAGGTCTGCTCCAGCCATAAAAACTATCAGGAAATAAGCAACATTTCTGGCAAAGTGAACCCCTGAAGTGTCTTATAAGCCGGAGAAGATTGGAACTGGACAGGATACTTTTTTAGGAGAGACATTTGCATAATTTGTGCCCTTTGTATGGGACATGTTAAGAAGCAAATCAACATCACACAAGCAGGCTGGTACGGAAGAACTGCAGAAAATACTCCAGGGCTTGTAGGGTGGCCCACACTAGCAGTCATGCAGCCATTCACGCCTGTGAAAGGGAACACACATCACCCTGTGGACCCGTTTCCCCCCAACACTGACCTGTGCCCAGGATTTGACGCCTGTAAGGAAGCAGAGACACAGCACCATGAGGAGAGTGCCTTCCATCCACAACAGCTACAGCAGAGGGAAGATGGTTAATTTGAGCATAGCACTTACTTATCCACTGAGTGCCACCCAGTCCAGCACCCCAAGTATCCAGGCTGCCACATAGACCAGAGTAGTGCCGTCCAAAATGAGCAACTTCCCCCCCCGAACTTAGATAAAAGCCATTTAGTGGCCAACACTTTGTGCTGAGCCTGCCTGCTGCCCTTCTGCAGCCACTACCACAGGTAACAGAAATAAAACAGGGAGGGAGAAGATGAAGGGGTAGGTTTACAAGGAACAAACACCAAAGCTCACGCAGCGGACACGTAGCAGTTTCAGTTGAAAAATGCAAACAGCTGATGCTTGGTGCACCGAAGGCCTGTCTTTGGCTCTTGGAAAGCTCACGAGCAGGGAAGCTTGTGGAGTTGTGGGCCAGCCAACTCACAGGCACGCCAGCTCTAATCTCCTTCCCCAGCTGCGTACACAGAAACTGCAGAACACAAATGCCGGAGGAAAAATAAAGGGAAAGCTCCAATTATTCTTAGACCACAAGAACAACGATGTTTAAAAGCAAAGATGTTGGCAGGGCAGCAGAAAGGAAGAGCTGTCCAAAACAGTCAACTGCAGAAATTCTGTGTTGTTTTAGTCAGCAGCCACTGAGGCAAGACAAAGAAGAAGAAATCTGCCATATGGCTACTTCTGCTGTAATGGCACCAGGCTGGATTTGCTGTTTCTAAGTGTTTTCTAACAACACCAGGAATACAAACAGTCAAATACCTAAGCTGTGCTTAAAAGCTAGTCTCTGTAAATTAGGTTTCCTTTAGAAAGCTTTACTTCCAAAAATAGCCTTGGACAGAAGTATGATTTTGTCCCTCTTGTGGTTACTATTCGATAACTGTATTCACAGTAACATGGCTGAGAGGAAACTAGGTTTTCTTCCTAGAGGTAATAAACTCATAAGGACAGTTACCCTTTCAGACACCTGCAGATTAGTTGCTTGTGTAATGTGCAGAATGCGTTGTTTGTAACAGGCATATAATTCTGGGAAAGATTTAAGAAGAAAAAAAGAACAAACCACCAAGTTTTGTCCTTTCTCAGCAGGATTCAACATGATGCTGCTAAAAGGACTAGAGAGGCATATCATGTCAAAGCAAGAGGGTTTTATTCCTGCAGCCAGCATAGCACATGGTTTGTTTTCTCCATAACAGGGTCCCCTGCTAAGCCTCTTTGGCAGGAAGCAAGTGTTACCCTGCCTAACAGCACAGGAGGTGCAGGTACCAGCACTGCACACTCGTACTGCCTCTGAACTCTTCCTCAAGTGTCATGATATAAAATTTTGCAGAATTCTTATTTCCAAAAACAAATAGCCAAAAGATGAAAAGGAGAATCTTCCCTGGTGGTGCAGGAAGAGTGTCCACAAGAAATCCATCCCTGTCACACCGGTTCGTTGTATTTGGAGCTAGTGTGCCATGCTGAGGGTGTTCATGTTTCCCTGCAGGTTTCAAATCTCCTTTCCAGAATGCTGACAACTCATTTCAGGCATAAGCACAACAGCACCACACACGAGGTGCACCAAGGTTTGCCCATCGAAGCAAAACTTCCTACTTCCCAGAGATGTTTTCTAGTAATTCTCAATTCTTGTTTCCCCCTCCTTCAATTCTTCCCCTCTCAGAAAAGCTTTATTTTCTTCACCAACCTATCAAAGCTTAACATGTGTTGTAATAAAACGCTAGCCAAACAGGAAGCACCATTTAGTACACTAAGATGATTCAGATTTCACACACAGTTCAGAATACCTAGATCAGCTGGAGCATAGACCAGTACAGAGCAAGTGACGTTCCTCTTCCCACCGCTTTTACTGAAGGAGCCAAACTGACATCCTAACACGGAACATTGTTTCTGATGACTCTACTGAGATGTCCATGTGGATAGCCAAGAGTCAGGATCTTCAGCAGCACCCACCGGGATCCATATGGACTGCACAGAGTTCTTTCCCCAAGGCCTGAGTAGTATTTGTGGGGATGGGGAAGCAGCATGGAGCAGAGAGCCAGAACCCTGAAACATGCCAGGCTTACATCAGTGGGTTAGACTAGAGGTTACTGGTAATGAAACAGCAGAATTTTCACTATATAAAATTTATAAATTTATTTTTTCTGTAAAAATCCAAAGAGCACGAGGACATCTCACTCAAAATACTGGTAAATCAAACCACACTTAGAAAAATGAAAGCTGATTTTATTATCTTATCCACAGCCAATCATTTGACATGAACATGCATACGTAATTTTGCTACGCACACACCACAGTTTAACGTTAGTTATTAAAGGTTAAACATACAACATACATCCTTACAAAAATGAGTCAAAATGCAAACGTAACTTTTAAACAAAACAAGTTTTTACTTATTTAAAAAAACCTTTGTGTTGGGTACCATTTTGTACAAACACAGTTAATTTAAACAAATCTGCTCTTAGTTTCCTCATGGTTGCACATGAAAATAAGCTGCAATAGAAAATGAAGTCATCGAGGGATTTTTAAATAGCAGAAGTAGGCAGTCTTGCCATGCAGAAGAAGCAATATTAAATATTAGTTTTTCAAAAAAAAGAAAAAAAACCCCACAAGTTTAAAAATATTTAGTTCAAGTCACAAATCTTTCCCCAGTACAGAGAAATCCAAATGCAACGCATAATTAGCTGCCACTTAGGATGGCTATTCAGGAAAGTAGCAATACTTCCCAGAATTGATAATTTTCATTGATTTGGCACAGAAAAGAAGTCTGAGCTTACTTAAGAACAAGAAAGTGATTGATTAAAAAAAAAAAAAAAAAAAAGGGTAAACAGGGAGAGAGAAAATAAAAAGCAAGAATGAACGAGATAGTAGTTGCAATCACTAAAAAAAAACAACTCTGTGCATCTCAGTCATTGCAGAATACTGTCTGTCTACAGCAGGTGCGAATTCCAGGTAACTGTTATTGCAACATGGATTTAATTTGCTTGGAGGTAGTCTCATCATTCAAATGCTTTGTTGTGTACCTATGCATAGAGAGAAAAATCAAGTTGAGAAAAGCACAGATGCTATTTTATTTTGGCTTAACAACTACGTAATTTCTTTGTTTATGGCTCAACTTGAATGTAGCAGAGTAAAACCCACTCCATGGTTACCATGTACACAGATCAGACATCCTGATCAGGAAATGCTATTATCAATCCCAAATATAAGCCAAGGGCAGTTAAAATAAGCCTCAGCTGGATCCCTGCTTTTGTGCTCACAGGCCATTGATAGTAAACTCATGTTACCACCAGCTTATTACTTCACCTCTGAGGTCTATGTCCATGGGAGACATCTTCAAATAAAACACAGCTTCAGAAACTTTTCTTCAAACCTGGAGTGACCAAACCTTTCTAGATCCCTCAATGAGAATAGATGCAATTGGTTTTCAGCCTCATTTCCTGCTCAGCTAAGTAACCATGCTGCTACCACTAAGTATACGTGTGTTTATTCCAAGCCTTTCTCCCTTCCAAATTCTCTACAACACGAGCACATTTTTACATCACTACAAAACACTTGGTCATCTCTTCTTTTAAAAGAAAGCACTGTGTATCTCCAGTGCTGACTTCTTTGCATGATTGTTTTCCCCAATCCTCTTTCCTAACTGTAATCTAAAAGCAAGTAAAATCTTATTCTGTCATTTAACATTTTAAAATAGCACTTTCATTACTATCCACAACTGTAGTGGTATCTTAGTTGTTCACTTGAAGAATGACCTTTTGTTTTGGAAATTAATATCAGTACAGATTTCAGCATGTCTTGGTCATTTAGGCTTTCCACAAACAAGAGGCCTAAGGTTTTCTAAAATCCAGAAAAGTTTCTGCCCATGTGAAAAAGCTGAACACGATTACAGTACATTCATTCCAAATTACAAACAGCTGATCTCCCTCCAAAATCCACACCACCTTCCATTTGCTATTGGGACACATAATCTATCTCTTCAGAAAACATAAGAACTTCTAACACTTCTCCAGAATCAAAAGACTTAGATTTGGACTTAACTTCTCATGACATCACCTTGAGTCTGTTCTCATCGCACTCACACACAGCAGCTGACCTCTGCATCTCTTCCTAATATTCCAAATGTGATTTAAACAAAGATTCAAATATCCTACCCAAACAAGTAATTCGGATATGTGACACCAGGACTGTTGAAGTACATTTGCACGAAATGGGTTGGTGTGGTGGAATGACAGCACAGACTGAATTTACATGAATAACCACAAAATTAAACACAATGGAGGGAGAACCTGAACTACGCTTTCCATGTACTTTAATAGTGTCAACCATGATGAGGAAAACCAGGGTACCAGTAAAGGTGGGTGTTCATTTGCAGCTGCAACCACAATAAATTAGTCAGAAAACAAATGCTAATACAGCACTTTCCCTCTGGGAGCTTGTGTTTTTACTCATCACCATTCCAAAGCCTGATCACATACAGGAGGTTCAGAGATGAATAACAAAATGATTTCAGCATGGAATACTCACATGACATCTCAAATTAAGCCCAGATTTACATTATTTTAGCTAATAATCTGGAAAAAAAAACCTTTGCAAGCGAAACCACTTATAGCACAGTTAATTCTTACCACATCTTAACATGAAAGAAAAAATGAAATTAAAGCTGGTTTTCTTACATGTAGTGAAACTAAGTACAACTCTACACTTCCAGGGAAGACAAACTAAAGCTTCCACATTTCAAAGTGGGTGTGTGAATAACAATACCCAGGTACAGGTAAGGTTTTTTTTGAGCAAGGACAAGGTCTTCATCCACCTATCACATTTTGGGACTTTTGCCACTCCTCTGATGGACACCCACATGAAGAACATGTTACCAAATACAGATACAGCTTTATGACCCAAAACACCAGTTTTTAGGTTTCTACATGGACTTACTAATTTTTCTTTACCTCTCCAAGTGGCAACTTCTTACCTCATTTATTCTACAGGAAAAACATTGAGGCTTTCACCTTAAGTACCTCCCTATAAATACTTTGTGAAAGGAACGATTTCGAGCTACATATGAAAACCCTATCTGCCTTACACATTTGAAGCTATATGAGAAACAAATCACAGGAAACTACTCTTATAGACTACTGATAATAAATAAAATCATTAAGCCATGGTCAAACCACACACAGTGGAGGATATGGCCAACGCAAACTAATCCAGCCATTTCTTTGGTAAGCTGGCAAAAGTCATTGTGCACATTCTGCAGCTCTCATTCACTTGTTTGGTTGTTCAGTCAGTAGATGTGATCACAGTTCTAGTCTTCTTTTAGTACGTATTATACTTTGTCATCAGCTTTAACTTCAGTCACAACGTCTAGCCTGTCTTACCCCAACAGACTCATTCACCTGTGTGCAGTTAAAGTATGCAAAAAGTTATCTTAGAATTAACACCTTCAAGTTTACGACTTAGCTTTTAAAGCACAGCAGCTTCTTCATTCATCCCTGCCTCAAGACACATTGGAAGAGAAGCCTGCAATACCCACACTCACCTTTTACCTGTAACCCTGATTGAATAACTTGCTGCTGAAGGAAATGCCCTGGATGAGTTATGAAACTTCATGTAAAATATTTCAAATGAAAGAATGAAAGTACCTGAGAGCATTTAGAAGGCCTTCTACACTGTTAGGAGGCTGGTCTTTAAGAACTTTGATGCATCCTTTCATCTAGGAGATAAAAAATAATATAGTTATACCTTCTATGTTGTCAGAAGTGGTTTATATTTAGTTTGTCAAATAAAAAGCTAAGTACTTAAAAATTGCAAAGACATTTTCTTGCTATTAGAAAGGAATTAAGCTTTCAGTATTACATTTTCTTAGGAAAGAATGGCTTAGCTACTTCAAAACCTGTGTATCTTCAGACCATGCAACTTTGATGTCAAGCTCTGTTTTAATGACCTTAAAAAGACCCAAAAGGAACTGTAAACAAAAATCTTTGTTTATCATAAATCCATTAAGAACAACTGCATTCAGCCAGTGAAATAACGACAAACTGTAGCTAATACAACGGGATAATTTAAAACAACCATGAAGCAGCATTCAGTAACACCACGTATTCCATAGACTTGCAGTCAAACAATAGCAGAAGGCAACAACCATGAAGCAGCATTCAGTAACACCACATATTCCATAGACTTCCAGTCAAACAACAGCAGAAGGTTGAAGATTGAAGGCTGGTGGATGATGAACTGGCTCTTTACCAGATAGTGAGGAACAAGCTAGATGCCATTGTATTTCCAGTCATTCTGATTTATGTCTTTCAACAGAACCACTGTCTACAAGCATTTCAAGACACTACCCAAATTCCATCAAAACAGATCTTCCATGACCTAACAACGATCACTCAGATGTCTGAAGGCCTAGTTTGTATTTCTCACTGCTTATGTATATGGTTTGCTAACAGCTACCACTTTCCAAAATGTACATCTGCTACTAGAATCATAGAATAGTTAGGGTTGGAAAGGACCTTAAGATCATGTAGTTCCAACCCCCCTGCCATAAGCAGGGGCCTCACACACTAAACTATGTGGCCCAAGGCTCTGTCCAGCCTGGCCTTGAACACCTCCAGGGTTGGAGCATTCACAACTTCCTTGGGCAACCTATTCCAGTGCCTCACCAGAACCTGGAGGAGAGAAAAGGAGCCTACACACCAATTTAAGTACTCAGAAGATTAGGAATGAGAAACTTACATCAATTTTTGATGTTTTGGCAAAAGCGCCCACCGGATGCACGTGGTCATAGAGTATGATGACACCCACCATTACCCTCAGACAGAATGATACAGTTTCCTCATTTGTAAACCTGCTTCTATATTCACTGTAATTAAAAAACACAGATTATCGTCTATGACACACAAAAGTACATACTTGTGATGCTCAAAGGAAGATTAAAGAGCAAAATCCTACTATAAATCCTCACAGGAAAAAAAACCCAAACAACAAAGCAAACAAATCCCAAACCCACCAAGCCCACAATCTTTTTTTTGTCCTTTTTCCCTTCAATAACCTGCCTACAAGTCACACCACTGCTTAGAAAGTTATCTGTAGATGATGAAGATTCTCAAACTGAAAAAAATTAAAGCAATACATACTAATTCTGCTGTCAATGCTCCCTACCCTTTTCCCCTCCATCCTAATACACATGCAACCCTAATGCTTAACTACTTTCTTGAATGGGACAGACCTTTCCTGAGAAGGGTAAGAATGCAAATGTGCAAATGCTCTTAATGTGCTCCAAAGCAAATGTACTGTGGTATTTGGACAGAAGCTTATTTAAATAAGCCATACCTCATGCCTCAGTAATTTTACCATCGGGAAACTATTTAGAACCCAGAAGAAACAGATAAAAGAGCCCAAAGTTCAGTTTGACTTTTTGTTTGTACCCCCAGTGCCTCTCAGATTTATAGCAGACAACAGACTGCCTTCATGCCCATAAGTTGTCTCGTGCTTCCCCAGGCAGGGGCACTGTGATTTTGTTCTACCCATCAGCCAAGCCAACTTGTAGGAAGTACAGTCCAACGCATTGCCCATAACCTCTCTTTCAGAAGGCCCTAGGCAATCATGCTAAAATAGTGTATTTCCCTGAATTATACATGAGAAAGCCATTTATAAAGAGTGCCAAGAGGTTGTCTAGCTTTTATAGCCATTCTGATTTTAAATATTAATATGTCCAGAAAAGTAGACCGCATGATTTGCATGGCTAGCAAAATGAGACAAGTTAGTTCCATGTCAAGGTAAACAACTAAGTTGGTAAGAAGAAAGCACCTAATTACCCCAATTGTATTTCTTTCACTTTATGCTTCACAAGCCATGCCTTAAATACAGTGATAATTCATAGACAATACAAGCACTGTTTATACTCACGGGGTTTCCAGCATGACCCTGCACACACTAGCCATGGTGCTTAAGCAATCTGTAGTATTCTCTATAGGTAAATTTTTATTCTGCAGAAGAAGGTAAGAAAATCAACAGTTTCTACTTCAATTACTGTGAAATATTACACTACAAAACCTGCATCAAATCAGTGATCTGCTGGCATGGCAAACACAAGAGGAATTAGAAACATCAACACAGCTGGGTATGTCAGGTAGCCTTGCGCTGATTTGTGACAATATTACAATATAGATTAGCAATTTAGAGAGCAAAGTCTACCATATAGTGTTTGCTTGCTTGTTTGCAGTTGAAGAAATACACCATTGATACTATTGACTTTTGGGACGTTTCAAAGCAATCATCTAACCTGTTCTTTCAAGACAGAGATTTCTCTAGCCAAATATACATGCATCTGCTGCAACAGTAAGACTTAAAACTGATGCACACAAACATATCAAAGAAATGCTAATTAAGAGGTGATTTTTCTTAAGGTATTTCAAATGTAAAGCAGAACAGGAAGAATATTAGAAGACAAATGTACCCTTGTATTAATAGTATCTTTGTGTTAATATAATATTATTTTTTTTTATTAGGAATTAGTCTGCATCTTTGCTTGTAAGACAAAAAAAATCATCACAGTTATCAGAAGCCAAGCACAATACTTGTAGTGACTGGACTTTACCACTAATATTTATTTAGGTAGTTAAGGACAAACAGGGATGTGCCAAATGCCAGAAAACTTTTGCAGTTCAGGCTCCTTCCCTCTTCTGCATTAATATAAATACACTAGACTTTACACACCTAAACCAGAAGTGTTCTAGGAAGGAGAAAAGGAAGCTACATTTCAATTCCTGTTTCAAGCACACAGAATCAAGCTGTTTCCCCTTCAATTTTCTGAAGTTTCTGCTCTAAAGCACCACCAAATTGCAGGCAACATACCTACCACCTCTCCCCACCTCTCTTCCTTGAAGATGACTGTTGCTACCAATGTTGTAATACTACTATCTGTTCACTTTTTGCAACATATCCTGAATTTACCCTAACCTTTACGGCATCTGAGAAAGCTAGAATCAAGCTGTTTCCCCTTCAATTTTCTGAAGTTTCTGCTCTAAAGCACCACCAAATTGCAGGCAACATACCTACCACCTCTCCCCACCTCTCTTCCTTGAAGATGACTGTTGCTACCAATGTTGTAATACTACTATCTGTTCACTTTTTGCAACATATCCTGAATTTACCCTAACCTTTACGGCATCTGAGAAAGAAGACACTTTACGTGTCTTGAAGCTCCAAAACCGAAAGTTTGATTTCTAGATACCAGATTAAGTCTGGTAGAAGAGTTCTGTGTTCCCAAGTTGATGTACACTACCCAAGCAATAAATTTATACTCTTACCTCTGACACAAACTTTGTTGTAGCATCACTTAAGGTTTTCAACATTGGCGTGGCTTCAGCGTAAAATAAAGACATTCTGTTTGCCAACTCATTATTTACTTCATTCTCTCCCTCTGCCTGTGAGAGAAGGAAATAAGAATTTATTTGTTCTGTACATGAACAAGGTAGGTGGTAGTATAAGATTACACTTAATCTTTTCTAAGGGTTACCTACTGGAACATTGTTAATCCTCATACGGCTCAGAGTTCTTCTGTAGTAGCTGAAATCATTCTGTATAGCAGGATTTGTCATCTATATAGATATGGAAGCAGAACAGTTTTGATATAGTCAAGAAAAATCTAAGTTTTCATAAAATACAATACTAAAAATAAGAAAATAGTCACCCTTCTGAGCAAAAAAGTCTTGTGACATGTTGGGAAGTGGTACATAGGACACGAAGCTTCCTAGTTAAATTCTCTGATTTTTCAGAACCAGATCTAACAAGAAAAGCAGCAGTCTCCTAAAGAGGAATTTGAAGTTAATAGGTTGGGGGAAAAGAAAAGGCTTTGCTAGTTTGACTTCAAGGATAAGACCAGCAAATGAAGATCATTTTAACTTAGTTCTTTGCACAATAGCAAGAAAATAGCTGGACTATGGGTGTGGATATACTAAAAGCAGCAGAATTATCTCAGGAGATATACCAGATTTGGGTGAAGAAACATGATTAATATGAACTGAAGTATAACAAGTGCCTGAATCAAATATGGTATTTCATCAGCTTTCCAGTTTGATCTAACTCTAGGTCATACAAGCGAGCCAAGCACAGTAGATAATTTGAGTATCTACTGCATGCTCTATCTAGAACAGAACACAACCCAGATTGCTTCAGCAAAATAAGACTTGTTTTCCTTTTGCTAGCTTTTGTGCTTACAAAATGACACGTTCTTACCTTGAGCTCATCAAACCGAAGTGTGAAGTGAAGAATTTCTGCAAACTGCTTAGCAAGAGCCTGCTCTCGCTCCAGGTGTTGCGTTGGTGAGTATGGAGTGCTTGTCAGAGCTCCCAGCAGACCTCGCAATCCTGCCTCTTAAGTGAGAAGAAAATATTTTGCAATATACAACTGCAGCCACTTTTGATCTCTACTGATAACATACGCTGCATGCCAGGCTCAAATTATACATCTGCCAAAATACATGGTAATTAATAATAAAGGGGCTTGATGAATTGTTTCTATGTGCCACTGTTGCCGTATGTACTTAGGAACTGCTGTAAAGACAAGGTCTAACCAGCACTGAGAGCCATGAAAAACTTAAAAGTTTTATTCAAGTTTTATCTGCAATATTTGTGTAAAACATTTCAATAACCTGTGTTAGCAGATTACAGCCTTTAAGATAGCACAGAATTCAAGAGGTACATGCCCATCAGCAAAAGTCATGTTTAAGATAAATTTATAATCCAACTTCCTGCTCATCTTCTTGAGAAAAATACTTCACCTCCTTAACAAAGTGGAACTTGCCTGCAAAAAGCTTCCTTTTTTCATAAGCTATGCTAATAACCGTCTAAAGTTTTTGGGGAGAAAAATCAAGTCTAATGGGTTTTACCGGCTCAGACACAAATCAGTCAAGTTGGTTTTGTAAGAGTCATGAACCACCATCTTCAGTATTGCACCTGCAGGAACCAAGATCAGGCATTTCCACAGACCAAATTATTTCTGGCATTTTAGGGGGGTATAATACAGTCCCTCTTAAGTACTCTTGGTATTAGAAACATTAACAGAATTAATTCCCACTGAATTAGTCTACTAATTTTCAAAACAATCAGAGTTTTCCAGAGTTACTAAAGTGGTAAAGGAAGAGGATGACAAGTATTCTCCCATTCTCTCTCTCAGGCAGCCGCTGAAGCAAGTTTGCTTTGCCACGCAACAAGGTAATACACAGACATAAGTAAGATCCAATCCACTGTATGAGGGAATATATGCAATATGTACTTTTATCTACTACCAAGTGCTTGCCATAGATGTCATCGCATCTGAATATGTCAAATGTAGTACTTAATGAAGACAAAAACCCCCAAGTTAATACCATTCCACTTACCTAGTCTTTGAGAAAATTCATAGAATTTCTTTAGCTTGCCTACTAGTGGAACAACTGCACCCCATGCCTTCTCTTGCAGCTTCTCATCACTGGGATGCTGTATTGCCTTCAAATTAGAAAAAAAGAGGGGAAAAGTGCTTAGACCACGAATAACTGATGCAGTACCATAAAAAAAAAAAAAAAAAGGAGAAATATCTACACAGGACAATTGAAGAGCTAGTAATTGAAAATTCTACCTACTGAGAAGTTTCCAAGTTGAGAGACAAGCCTGTACTAACACATGTCAGTTCCAAAAAGCTCTGTATACTTGTGTTGAAAATAAGTATCCTGAACAGGAAAACAACTTGGAGAGAGGATAAAGAAACTGTTAAAAATAAAACTCCTCAAATAAGAAAATTTACATAACCAGCCTGGCATACTAAAATCAACAATTTCACTGGGGTACCTCCAAGCAAAACAGTTTAGTGATCAAAGCCTTATCCTAATGCTGGTGTTCATCACCAGTTTCTGAATTTGAGAAGAAAAAAACCCAAATCTACTGTGAAATTCAGGCTAAATATTACAGTAGGAACATTTAAGCATAATCAACATCAAGCACCACCAAGACATGGTACATACCAGAGCTTTGAGGTGTACATGTATAGCTCAGTGAACATCCCAGACAGATAAATCCTTAAATTCCATGTCTCCAGGTTTTTACCAAAGAAATTAACTACTTAGGAATTGAAAATTACTAAGAAAATAGAAATAAAAACGCTCCTAACTTTCCTGATGCATCTTCACAGTCAAATACTTCATTCCAAAATCTGTTTCAGTCAACCCCAGCCTGTGAGCTTTAGCACACTCCTCTCTGGTCCCTATAACATTTCCTTCCTATGATGCTACCTCCTCTCAGGAGTGCCTCTTGTCTTTCTTGATGGGAGCTGCAGGCTTCCTTCCTGATCCTGCTGCCTCCTCTTTGAAGAACAAATAAGCTATCTCCCCTCCTAAGGGTTTTGTGTAACACAGCTACCCTTCCTAAACCTACGTTACAAATTCAACCTCATGTACTTCAATTAAAACTGAATGGCTACGAGTATCTCAAATTCATCTGGAGTGAGCAGAGACTCCTCCTATCTAATAGTATTTCTGAGAGTGTGTTACAGTGGGTAACTCTTCACTTTTGCAACAAAGCAGCCTCCATTGCTACATATGAGGAAGAAGGAAAGGGGGCTGGAAAGAGTATTTATTCTACCCTTTCTCAAAGGTAAAGGAGAAATGGAGTGACATGCTGTACAGAAACTTTACTTCTGTTCCAAATATCTACTTTAGTAAGTAAAAGCCAATTCAAGGGAATTTAAAATAAGATGTCTTTTGTGTAAGGATTACCACACATCAGACCTCTCCAATTAGCATACAAAAAGATGTCGACACTACTCAACACTGCACTAGTCACGCCAGGCTCTTCCCAAACTCACCACTAACTCAAGAGCTGATGTGGGAATATGAAGAAAAATCAATAGCAACAATTCCATAAAAAGTCTGAGAAGCATCACTTGCTATTACTTATGTGCATTAATATTATTGAAACAAGCGACATCTGTTTCACTGTTAAAAGGGAACATTCCAGAGCAGAAATTCAAGACAGCAATTTTAATAGACAACATGCTCTGCCAAAACAGCTCCTGCAAGCAAAGTTAAAATCCAGCAGTATTTGGTTAGGATCAGACAATGAACAACCACAGGTTGTACACAATAACGCTCTAGCTCACCTCTCGTATTTCATGGCCAGCTCCTCTATATGACTGCAAGTCTTCCAGTATTCCTTCTGCATCCTTTAACACTACATTCACCTGATTATAAATTTCCTTTTCAGATTCTGTAGGTTGGGCATCTAAACAGTAGAACATATTAAATAT